ACACACACACACACACCTGCATAGGTCCACATATTAAACTGCAAAGCAACAGTTATTCAATAAAATATATTGATCAAAGCAAATGGCTATTATGTTGATTTTTGAAGGAATGTCATAATCAATCAAACAGCGGGTATTGATCGGAGATATATAGTTTAGAATTAAAAAAGGCTGTGTCCTGTGTATGGAGATGTCCAGGTATTAGAGCTAACATGGTCTTGGAGATCTTAGTACCATTGGTATGTACTCGGTGTTACCAGAATTCTTTGCTAGCCAACATCCGGCAGTAGTTCTGAAAGTCGAAATGCATACAATTCAACGGGTCTGATTAGTCCCGGCTGCCAATTATTTGAATAAATTATTTGTCGACTCTTTACTGCTCAAGATTATTTCTTAATCTTATTATTACTTTCGTTGATGTACCTGATCTTTAGTTTCATCATGGCTTTTACATGTTTAAAAATTTCCTTTATTTAGGTGATTTTCTACAGAATTGATCCTCCTATTCCCCTGCACTCGTTTCATGATAACTGTTAGCTAGTAACACTCGTTTATGTAAATCACGATAATTGTAGATTCTGTAGCCTGTGATCGACCGAATAGCAGTTAGAGCCGATATTCAGCGATATCTCGGGAACATGATGGAAGAGTACTTGCCTGACATTAAGGAACACTTTAGTTGTAACGTTTCTCAGCCCGCCTCTAAGATGGTAGTCAGCTGGTGGAACAACAAATTTGTTACTGAAATACTCGTTTGGTGAATCACTGAAGCTGGCTTGTCTCTCTCACTGAAACAAGCGGTACAAGCAATGCTAATGATCATGTATCAGCCAAATATACCGGTAGTTGGTATCCATGCAGGGTCATTTCTTTTCGAGATTGCTATAAGAACAGCGAGAGTGCCTGGTAAGCTTGATCATTTATTGTTTGATCATGAAAGTTGTGCAAGGTTGGAGCCGAAGCCAAAGCTGGATGGTTATGCACCAGTTTGCTTGGGGGCAATACTCGAAATTATTGATGATCCGGGAGTGCAGGAAGATCGCTTAGTAAAGGTAATCAAAGATTCTGTTCCCAGAATATCTTAGGAAACCCTGTCAGACTGCATGAACAACAGTTTGTTATCCAAGACTTTTGAAAAAAAATCGATTACTAGTGAATGGCTATTTTTCCAGAAATGCTCGGCTTGCTTTTATTGGTTGCATAACGAAGGTTCTCGGGACTATCTTCCAAAAAACGCAGGACGTGACACTTTACTTGGAACGGAAAGCGGTAAAAAATTTGGTTTATTCTATCAACATTCTGTGCCTGTCCGTCCTAACCCCAATGTAGTTGTAGTCGCCAATTTGTGTTGTTATTTTCAAAGCACAAAAAGATCTCTGTTGTCAGTTTTGTATGCCTCTTTATCTCTGCAGGAAACGGGTAATTTCTTTGAGAGCAGTTTTTACAACATTACTGTT